CTCGTCGAGATTTGCGGCGCTATCATTGGGCCGCTGCAGATGCCTATGGCAACCACGACGCTGTCTGCGAGCATGCAAGGGGACAACTGATCAGCCCTAGCTGGGTGCATGCCCGTTGCAGCCATGTCCGAAATGCACGTTGACACGCACTCCGTAATCTGTCAGCAAAGCAAGGCTGCCAGAGGGACTCCATCCAGGACGCACCCTTCGCAGGGTGTGTGGTCACTGTGGAGTGGGAGGGCCCTGGGGAGCAGGAGGGGCGGCCCAAGACAGGGCAGGACGCGCCAGGCACAAGGACAGCCTTCTTCGCTGATTCTAACCCGCTTGGGGGCGCTAATTTCTTGACTATTGCCCATCGCCAGCGCGGCCAGCACAGTCGGGCAGTCGGGGATGCGCCGACAGGGACGGCGATTAGATCCGAGGCGATCGGCGGGCGCGCCGTGACGAGAATGCAGACGTTGACAAATCACAGGCGCCGATCCCGCGTCCCGGCCCCGCCTGCCTGCCCAGGCCGCCCTGCACCGCCATCCTGTGGCGGGGCTGTGGCTCGCCCTTTGTGTGGCTTGCCTCGATAGTATCTCGATAGCTTCTGCTCGCCCGACATGCGACCTTCATCGCGCTTCGCATCTCCACCGTACGTGGTTGTAGCCCAACGAGGTATGCAGCGATGTCGACTGCAGGGTTGGAAGCGCCCTTTCTCAGTTTTTCGCTGAAAATTTTTTCTCTGGTTCACGATGGCATCAACATCCCCGCGGAGTTGGGGTCTCCGCCAGGCCAAGGGCGAGCCATATATAAGGGCCGATCCCAAGCCCGATCTGGTCAATGACAGGTATCGTGGACTCCAGACTATTTAGCTCCTGCCCGTCCAGACCTTGGCTCTCCTTCATATGTCCTTGTCTGTCCTCGCCAGCAGTCCCTCGCCATCCTTTGCTGCTAGTATATGTCGACGACCCAGGACAACCGGTCAGGGCGTCCTGGTTTGAGAAAGAGGTTCTGGCGCGCCATTTCGACCACCACGTCGGCAGCTTCCCTCTCTGTACGGAGCGTCTTGGCCCCTCCGTCGCGTAGGTAAGGCATTGATTGATGCCGTCAATGCTGGCGTGGAAGCTGAACGCCCGTCGCAGGCTTCAACGCAGATCGACGACTCGCTCTGACTCGAACACGATGCGTCCTGGTCCGAGTCTGACCTCCACGATCGAGATGCCCTGCGCGGCTTCTTGTGCGGATACGAACAAGGTCCACCCCGTCGAGTGGTTCCCTTATTATCAGAACTGCGTGCGGTATTTTCTCGATGTCGCCCAGCACACGCCGTCCGCACAGTCCCTGGCGGCATATCTGAACATCTCTTTGCCCTGCCAACGAGCCTACGATCCCGTCTTACGGTACTCCGAGGCCAGCGCCAGCCTCGAGTCTGACTACCGATCGGCGTCTAGTGTCCGTTCGGGGACGGTGTCCATAATCCCGTATATTCGCCGGCTGGTCGTCACCGCCATGGATACGCCGAATGTCTTGCAGGGCCTGTTCGGGGACGATTGGAAGCTCGGGATTGGCCATCTGCACTCGCAGGAGCGCATCAACTATCTGTTCGCGGCCAAGAGCGGGGGCTGGCTGTCGACGAAGAGCCAGTACGACATCCTCCCGGACGAGACGGTGCCTTTCCTGCGACCGCTTCGAGATCCGCAGGAAGAGGAAATCCGCGCTGCTGAAGCGCGCTGGAGCGATTGGCTGGCGATGGAAGATTGGATGGTTGGACCGCGGAGTCCGTTCGAGAATTGATTACCTATCGATCGACGGCGTTTGTTACCACAATACCCACGACGAGTAATGCGGAGTTTGGAGTTGTCATTTTTTCTTTCGGTTATTCTTTTAGTCGCGAGTTCAGTTGTCATTGGTTTTTCTTTTCTATTTCCTATGGGCATTGGTTAGGAGCAAGACGGGCAAGACCTTTTTTTCATTAGCTTTTGTCGTTTTACTTTTCATTTTTCTCCCCCTCTACGTCTTTATCTTTCCTTATTCCCCCGCTTTTTTTTATCATTTACATTTTTGATTTACTTTTTCTTTTTAGTCTCCCCTCAAAATCAAACAAGTATTGATATCACTTTGTTCCTTAAGCCGATCTTCGCAGTGACGTGGCTAGTTATCTACCTTAACTGAGGGCCCATTGCTGGGTCAGCACCTAGGTATCTAATCTAAGACGTGGGGGTTAGGTAGATTCATGGACTGCTAGCAGGGCTGCACTACCTCCATAGGAGATAAATACCACTTAATTAGGCATATACTCTAGCGAATCATTTTATTTTAGCCTTCGTATTATATAGATTAGAGACAGCAAAGTTCAATTGACACCTAACCTACTACTGACACATGTCAGATTAGATTAACCTTTGTCACTGCTTTTGACACTTTGACAGGTGGGCTGCCCGGCTGACATGTTCTGACTTGCATACATCATATGCAGAATTGCGGATCGGCTGGTTTGCTTGTTTGCCACCGTGGGCCAGCTGGCTTTGCCCATAACATATATGAGCTGAATGCTGATCGTCGCGACCTGATCCATGTCTTTGGGTCGTTTGTTTTCTTGTTTCTGTATGTACGGAGGATAAATGAGCTGGGGCTGGCTGGCTGGCTGGATGGTTCTTCCACCCTTGTCAATATATTAAATAATTATTATATTAATATTAGTAATCATTGAGCACATTGAGCTAAAAAGAATATGTACAAGAAAAAAAATTCCTACTGGTAGACATGCTGTTTCTGTTCTGTCCCCCCTTCTTTGCACCCTTGCTTTTTGGGTGTCGAACTGGTGGTGTGGCGTCCGAATTGCACTAAAATAATTAAGGCTGGTTTGATTTGCATTAATCCGAGATCTCGCGAGAGGATCGATCTCAGACAGGGATCATTAGTAGTAACGTAATAATAAAAATATTAATAATAATTCGTCTATGCGATGTGCCAGTAGGGCCACTAAGAGCCGCTAGTTCAATTGGCTGACTGACCACGATAGTTTAGGTATTTGTTATTTGTTTATTCCCCATCCCAATAATTGGTCTCGGCTCAGCCAGCCAGGTCGTTCATAATTAATAATTCTTTGACAGACATGGATCAGGGCAATAGTCTTGACCCGGCACAAGATGTTGATATTCTCCGGCAGACCTCGGGAAATAAGGAAAACAGCACCAGCACCAGCCTGAAGCAACATGATGTCCCTGAGATCTCCATCTCCAGCCACACCGACGATCCCTACCACGCTCTGCTCCCCGCCCTGCGCGCCCATCTCCCGCACTCCATCCCCCTGCTGCGGCGGATTCAGCACGCCATTGCTCATCCATCGCCTACTTCTTCCTTCTTAGCCACTGGTCTGCCAGACTCGTCATCTCCAACTTCTTCATCACCATGGCTCGCTGCCTTTGTCGACCTTTGCGCTGGAAGGGAGACTCAACTTTGGGTCTACTCTAGCCTCGAGGCGGAGGCGTCTCCGCTGTCTGGTGGGGAAGCAGAAAAAAAAGGAGGCTGTTTGATCGCCAAATTCTCCGGCATCAGTCCGGAGAGAAAAGCACGGGCTCGCGCGCAGCTGCTGGCGTTGCTGTCCTTTATCAAGAAGCATCTGCTGCCGGATTATTTATCCTTTGTGGAAAGGAACGAGAAGGAGCACCACTCACGTGCTCCGGCTCCAGCGTCATCTTCTTCTTCTACGACAAAAATCCCACCGCATCCTCCACAGGCATTCCTCGTTGGGAGTCTCCATACAGGCCTGTTCTCGCTGCTGACGGCGTCCGAGTCGTATACGGATGCGCTTCCGCTGCCAGGCCTGAGGATCCTCCGTCACGACGTGCCTCCCTATATCAAATACCTGTTCCATCCATCTACGTACAGGAGTCCTGATGGTAGTGAACACGCCCTCCCACCCAAGTACCGCTACCATGATCGCACCGGACGGCATGGCGTTCTGCCGCACCATCTCGATCTCGTCATCAGTCGGACGCACATCCCTCGGTCGAAGAACACCCTAATGAAGATGCCCAGCGTGGCAGTCTATTACGATCATGACGGCACTGGCGAGACTAATGTCTCTGAAGAAATGCCCATCGCGTGGGGATTCATGTCCGTGGACGGCAGCCTGGCGACCCTGCACGTCGAACCCGAGCATCGCGGGCAGGGCCTCGCCGTGACGCTGTCCAAGGAGGTCATGAGACGGGCCATGATGGTCGACAGAGCTGACAAGAGAGGAGGAGGAGGAACCTTTCAGTTCCGGAGCGAAAATTGCCTGAATGATAACGACCACGATGCCTGGACCCATGCTGATGTCGCGACTACCAACATCGCCAGTCGACGGGTCATGGAGAAGATTGGCGGCCAGCTGGCTTGGACTGATACGTGGACTGTTGTCGAGTTGTGTGATGATGTCTAGGCCTGCATTACGACTGCGTTTTCGTACTTGACTAGAATCTTAATATATATACATATTGTTGTATTAGTGACTTGGCTCCACGGCCAAGTAAATGAAATATTCTCATTATTCAGTTCACGAATCGCGTTTGTGTTTCCTTGTTTGCAGATGGAAAGCAAAATATCAAATAAGAATAATCAAATAAGAATAATGCACACTGTACCCCCCCTTGATTTCCTTCACATGCACGTGTTTGTATGATATATCAGCTTGTTTATATTGTATTTTGGTGATATTCGACTGGTTGAGAGTATATACAACGCAGCCTGTGATTGGCGACGGCTGGCCGACTATTCGGGTTAGCGCGCGCGTTATCTTTTCATCTCCGATGCCGGTCGTGGAGGAGTCATATCTGCTTGCTTCGTATTGAATTCCAGCAACCATTCAATTGCTTCTCCACGACCAAAATGAGCGCACCAAAAGCTGTGGCGGAGAATATGCTCTGGGGAGGCCGTTTCACTGGCAAGTTATTTTTCGTCCTCAATGGGCGGTTCCGCCCTCTGCCATCAGTGATTCTTTACTAGCAGGCTAACAATTCCGCTCCGTCCAGAGGGTCTCGATCCTCTGATGGTGCAGTATAATGAATCCCTGCCGTACGATCGCATCTTCTGGAAACAGGACATTGCCGGCTCGATCGCCTTTGCCCGCGCCAACACCAAGACCGGCATCTTGACGCAGCACGAATTCGCCGAAATCGAGCGCGGCTTCCAGCAGATCGCCGAGGAATGGCGCACCAACACGTTCGTCGTCAAGGAGAATGACGAGGACATCCACACGGCCAATGAGCGCCGGCTGGGCGAGATCATTGGCAAGGAGATCGCCGGCAAGCTGCACACCGGTCGGTCCCGGAACGAGCAGATCGCGACGGACATGCGGCTCTGGCTGCGCGACGAGCTCCGCAAGCTGGACGGCTTTCTCCAGGACCTGATCAAGGTGTCGATCGCGCGCGCCGAGAGGGAAATCGACTACATCATGCCGGGATACACCCACCTGCAGAAGGCCCAGCCGGTGCGATGGAGCCACTGGCTTCTGTCGCATGCCACGGCCTTTGCGACGGAACTGCAGCGGCTGCGCGAGGTCACCAAGCGTGTCAACCGCAGCCCGCTGGGCACCGGTGCCCTGGCCGGGAATCCGTTCCATATCGACCGCGAGGCGATGGCCAAGGAACTCGGGTTCGATGGTCTGCTCTCCAACTCCATGAACGCGGTTGCAGACCGTGACTTTGCTATGGAGACGATGCAGTGGGGGAGCTCGTTCATGCTGAAGATCTCTCGCTGGGCGGAGGATCTCATCATCTACAGCAGTCTGGAGTTTGGGTTTGTGCGGTTGGCGGATGCATACTCGACGGGGTCGTCTTTGATGCCTCAGAAGAAGAATGCAGGTCTGTTCCCGTCTCCTTTCGCATGTGTTTATTTACGAATCACCTGCTGATAGTTTTCCAGACAGCCTAGAACTTCTACGGGGCAAGGCTGGCCGCACGTTTGGCCAGATGGCGGGTCTCATGTGCACGATCAAGGGACTGCCTACGACCTACAACAAGGACCTGCAGGAGAGCGTGGAGCCGCTGCTGGACCACATCAAGACTCTGAGCGACAGCATCCAGATCGCCACCGGTGTCCTGTCCACACTGACCGTCAACCCGGACAAGATGGCCGCAGCTCTAGCGCCGGAGATGCTGGCGACCGAGATCGCGGATTACCTCGTCCGGAAGGGCGTGCCGTTCCGGGAGGGCCACCACATCTCCGGCCGGGTCGTCGCCATGGCAGAGAAGAACAACGTGCCGATGGACACGTTGACCCTGGAGCAGCTGAAGAGCGTCGACAGCCGGTTTGACGCGGATGTGCGGGAGTGTCTCGACTATGAGCGTGCTGTGGAGCTGAAGGACGCCGTGGGTGGGACGAGCAAGCGTGCCGTCAGGGAGCAGATTGATACTCTGAAGGCCCTTCTTTAGAAGACTTTTTTTAGAAGATATGATAATGAATGATATAAAAGTCTATTAGGTTCCTAACAGATGTCCGCTCTTGACGAAATTCTCGCTGTATTATTAATTAATAAGCAGTCGAGGAGAAACGTGTACGCACTGACAAAAAAAAAGAAAGAAAAGGATCAATCGCACGGTCTCAGTTAAATCAATCACTCAATTACTACCTACGTAGGAACAGGGTTCTTCCCCACGGGGACAATAATTAGTCAGCCCGGGGAGCAAGAGCCCAACTCCGAGAGTCGCCCTCGTACGTTCGCTACATACATGTCGTGATGATGTTATCTCTTTTAAGATCTCACAGTACCTTAGTGAGGAATGTAATTTATTTTCTGTGATTACTGACTGACTGCTATTATTTATTGGCTCTTGCAATGCAAGTCCTCTTTTCTCCGCGGAACTAATTGGTCTCATGACATGATTACGGGACTATATCAGCAGGTCTATTACCTGATATAGCCCTCCATCGTTGTATTTACTGGATACAGTTGATGAAAAGCTACAGAAACAACCAACATGCTCAACGCCACTTCCGTCTATCGAACCTCCCGGTCGTCTCTGTCATCATCATTCCCCAGTCGACGGAGCGTCGTCCACAGCTGCCATGGCATCGTTGCCTGTACGCAGCCGTTGGCGGCTGCTGCGGGACAGAGGATTCTGCGTGAAGGGGGGAATGCTGCGGTATGTACTGTACATTATGTCCTATTCTATCCGTGCTACATATTGATATCTTGTACTGGACTGGGCTGGACTGGACTGTGCTGTATTGTTGTTGTTTTCTTTCCTCGCTGATTAGTGATTGTCTGCTGACGATGAATAATATCTATCTATCTATCTACATAGGATGCTGCTGTCGCTGTAGGTACGTTGCTTCCTTGTTTCATTTACACGAGGGGGAAAAAAAGAAAACGCAGACTTGTTGACTGTTTGTGTACGTTCTAGCTGCGGCGTTAAACGTCACCGAGCCAGGCTCGACCGGCATTGGAGGGGACATGTTCTGCCTGTACTACAATGCGCAGACCCATCGCGTCCACGCGTTGAACGGATCAGGAAGGTCTCCTGCAGCGATCAGCCTAGAGGCTGTGAGAAAGAGACTCGGTGCGCGATCTGCCACCATCCCCATTACGGATGTCTGCGCCGTGACGGTGCCCGGAGCCGCGGCAGGCTGGGTGGATGTTGTGGACAGATTCGGCAGCGGGAAGTTGTCGTTGATGCAGATCCTGAGACCGGCGATTGAGTTGGCTGAGGAGGGATTTCCCGTGTCTGAGATTGCGGCTTGGATGGTACGATTTCGATATAGTGATCGATTCAGTTGCTGACTCTGGGTATACTGTGTTTAGTGGCAAAACAGCGAAGACATCATCCGCACTGGCAGTCCTCACACCTGTCAAGATTACCTCGTGCAAGACCCAAAAGCGAAAGACGGCCTGAGAGCGCCCCGAGCCGGAGAGATCTTCAAGAATCCTCACCTGGCGCGAACATTCCGGTTGCTGGCGGAGGAGGGCAAGAAGGGATTTTACCAGAGTCGCATTGCAGAGTCGATCGTCCAGGCGGTGCAGGATCGTGGCGGATTCTTGTCCTTGGAGGATCTGCAGTTCCATTTGGAGACAGGATCTCAGGAGGTCGACGCGTTGTCCTTGACTTTCGACGCTCGGCATCTCCTCCAGCAGCATGAGCATCAAGAAAAAGGCTACATGCCAGAGACAGTGCGTCTCTGGGAACATCCCCCCAATGGCCAGGGCATTGTTGCGCTGATGGCGCTGGGGATTATGCAACAGCTTGCGCGGACAGGTCGTATCCGGCCGTTTTCTCGTGCTGACCACAACAGCGTCGAGTACCTGCACGCGGTCATCGAGAGTCTGCGCATCGCTTTTGCGGACGCCAAATGGTGGGTGACAGATCCCGATATTCAGGACAAGCTCACTCCAACCCATCTCTTGCTCTCAGAATCGTACCTGTCCGAACGAGCACAGCTCTTCTCACCAGATCGCAAAGCCACCAACCTACGACCCCTCGGCCACAGATTCAAGGGGCGAAGTCCAGCGCACAACCACTGCGACACAGCATACTTCGCCGTGACGGACCGATGGGGCAAAGGGATTTCGTTCATCAACAGCCTGTACGGCAACTTCGGCACGGGGATCATCCCGCCAGAGACGGGGATCATCCTGCAGGGCCGTGGCGCCAGTTTCTCGCTTGATCCTGCCCATCCCAATGTCGTGGCGCCGCGGAAACGTCCCTACCACACTATCATTCCCGCGCTGACTACATGTGCCGTGCCTATCCCAGAAGGAAATGACACTACTGACGAGGAGGTCGGCTCAAACGAGGTCCTTCACTCCGTCTACGGCGTCATGGGCGGCTTCATGCAGCCACAGGGCCACGTCCAGGTACTTCTGAACCAGCTCCTATTCGGACACACGCCGCAGGGCGCATTGGACGCGCCGCGCATCTGTGTGGGCGGTTGGCTACCAGGAGCATCAGCAACTGCGAGTACTACCTCGGAGGAGGAGGATTCTGACCCGTCGGACACTGTCTTCCTCGAAGAAGGCATCCCCGAACATGTCGCCGCTGGACTGAGGCAGCTCGGCCATCGCGTCCATTTTGTCCGCGGTTGGGGCGAACGAGAGATGTTTGGCCGGGGACAGATCATTCGATGCCACTACGATTCGGACGGGAGGGTTGTGTACAGTGCTGGCAGCGATCCTCGGGGTGACGGGGGTGCTTTTCCTGTGTAGTTGATTTATTGCTCGAAGTAGCTTCAAGGTATTACAATGAAGAAAGAAATTTAGACTCCAGTAGATATACAGCTCCCTGTAGCCATTACGGCCAGTATTGTTGTTCTGTTTATCATGCTGGTGAGGAAGATCAATATACAAGTAAATTCAGGGGTAAATCCAGGGGGAGAATTAGAGCGCTGAATTATTCCCTTCGTATTGCTTTCTCCTTCCTAATCGGGCAAGGGATACTCGGAGGTACCTAGGTAGGTAGGGCACTCTCCTCTTTGTTATCCCTTCCCTCACAGACAACGACAATTGTCAGTCCTGAACGAGATTCTCAAAACTCCTCGTCTGAATGAAGCAGACATTCACCAGGAATAGACAGCCAGCAGCGCAGCCAGATCATCTTGCCCGTGTGGACTGGGCCTCTAATAATATCCTTCCAGCTAGGAGCAATTAAGCGCGAAATGGAAGTTGCAAAATCTCCCTAGGAGGTAGATCTTTATTTCTGCCACATGTCAAGCTTGGTCAATGCTCAATCCTGCCCTTTGTGTGCCGCTTTTATGGGTAATGCTTGAGTGAGCGGGATCAATTGGGGTGAAATTAAAGGTTTATCCTATCTATATCTATGATGGATTCTTTCGTCAGGATCGTAGGGTTAGCATTGCGTGGTTGATCCTCTTTTTTTTAAAAAAAAATATCTAAATAGAGATTTAACACTCTCTTTGACTCTTTTGCTTTTGAAGGACAAGAATCCGCCGATAGCAAAGACCCTTTTAGCAAAACTGAATCCACAACTGCAGAACAGATGTCATTTACGAACCATGATCTGGACACTTCTGATCCATCTCCGGCTAATTTTTGGCTATCTGCTATCTAGAAAGCAAGCTTCAATCTTCAAGTTGCCACCGGAACTGCGGATCTCAAATCTTTTCCTTGCTCTCTTTACCATCTCAAGCCTGTCTGGCCCTGAGTTGCAAGACTTTCTACGAACAATTTAGCTTTGTTCTGCAAAACGAAGAATTCCGCTTCCCAAGTCTTCACGGAGATGGAAACACGAGCAGTTTATGTCATAGGACAGTATCTAATATACGAAACGATCTCCTCCTTCGACTCCAAACCCGACGCTGGCTTTACTGCTCTTCCTGTCTGAAGCTACATCCTAGTCGCGAATTCGAATATCACCAGCAGGGGGCACAACCTGACCACCGATATTATATGTGGCCTGGAATCGTGTCTCTTTGTCCTTGTATTCGATTAACTCCCCGTGGGAAACTTCGACTTCTGAACCAATTAAAGAAAACTACAAGCAACAACAACAGAGTGACCACCATCGTACAAGAAGATCCGGTCCACTGGCACAATTGCTCAATAACCCGTCATCCTTGGTTAACGGCCGACATTGAAATCTCGATCGCGCAGTCGTAAAACGGCCACCTTATCATCCATACGTATTATGATCCGAGAGTCAGGAGGGTGGATGGAGGTCGGCGCTTAGAACCAATACGGTGTTGTCCGCATTGCGATATTCTAAAATACATCCCTCCTAGGTATACTGATTCCAACAGCCATACGCGCTATGCCTGCTGCAGTTGTCAAAAGTTAATTCAAGTTAATAATCAAGTTAATAATCGGCGTCGTGGCTACAATCGGGTTTTAGTCCAGGTCACGCGAAATTTAGGAGGTCAAAAGCCACCTGATGATCAAGCTTGGCTCAACCAAAAGGTATGGAAATATAGATGACTTCATAGATAGATAGGATAAGCAGTTGATCAAGACTCTACTTACGCTTCAGAAGTTGAGCATGGCAGAGCCACCTCACTTGTTCATTCTTACATTCGATACTTCCACATGCAGAATGGGATAAATTGTCAGGTACTGTAGAAAAAGTCTCAACCTGCCAAAGCCGAATTCTCTGTGGGGGGCTTGCTGAGTCCCAATATATCCGCAAGAGGCTTGGGGAGTATTGCCAAAAGCACCTCGACGCCAAGGCAATCGTGCCAACCTCTCCCTGGGCCGCGATTGCTCGTGGGGCGGCTCTCAGACGTCTCAAGCCTCGGTCAATTATCACGGCACGAAAGGCTCGGCGGAGCTATGGGGTAGCTGTACATCGCGCATTTGAGGGAGGCATCGACAGAGAAGAAGACGCCTTTATTCACCCTAAGCTAGGCAAGCGCGCAAGGAATCAGATGTCTTGGCACATTAAAAAGGTAGGCCGAAGAAGGAGCCTGAAAGTGAAAGCATATACTTATGAGAGAATAGGGAGAAAACATTCCCCTAAACAAGAAAAAATGGCTCAAGGGCTTCATTGAAATTGGCGGGAGCATTGGCGAGAAGGGAAAAATCGACATACAAAGCAGTGATCTCGATCGGGCGCCAAAGACAAGGCACGATGATGGTGAGATAGAGCTAGAGCTTTACCTAGGAAGCGAGCTGATTCAAGAGACAGGAGTGGAAAAGATCGGTGAACTGAGCCTTAACTTCAAGGATGTTCCCCATCCAAAGAAAATGAAGCTCGGGAAGCATTCATGGGTGCCCCGAACTGCATTAAGGAATCAGACTGTTCACATCGGGCAGATCATCTATTCGGACAAGGACAATGACATCATCCAATTTGTCGCCATGGTCGGGAAAAAACAGGTTGGCATAGAGGAGTTTGTGTACAAAAAGGACATCCAAGATGATGGAAACAGCAACGAAAAAGACAGGGAGATGGATTACGACTTGGTCGAGGCGAACCATTACGGCGGTGAGGACGATGGCGACGTGTCAGAGGACCATGACTCTGAAGGTGAAGAACATGACTCTGACGAAGACAGCCTGCTGTTTTGCAGAATCTGAGCAGGGAGCTTTGCATATTATCATATTATGGACGTGATTGCCTTTGGATAGATCGCTGCTTTTCTAGATAGAATGAATGCCTGTATCTGATTGGCTCCTCCGCCGTCGTACAGCCTCGCCGGGCCGACGTAACTCCGTGGGCGGCGCTGGCAAGTTAGCATTGGCATTAGTGGCATTGATCCTCCTGGCAGCGACACCGCTGGCCTGGCCCCAACAACACCCTTCTCTCGCTGTCTTCTGCTCCCAAGTCTGCGCGAGAGACTGCTGGTTTGTCGACTCCGTTGCTCTGATCCACTGCCTTCCCCATGACCCCTCTATGACAACCCCGGATGCCTTCAGAGATGCGGAGTACATCGCTGACGTCTCTGGCATCTCCGACCATCACCATGTCACCGACGGCGACCGCACTGCGACTCCAGCTCGCTCGGGCCTGAGGCGGAAAGCCCAGACAGCTGCGAAGATCGCCTTCATCGATCGTTTGCTGCGTGACCTCGACATTGTCATTTACTGCGAGCTGTCCGCCTTGTACTATATGGAGTATGCTTCTACAGACGTTAGTGACCGCTGCTTTGGCGCTGACCACATCAATTCCACCGCAGTTGCTCTCTCATTCTCTTCGTTACGCGCGCCATCGTTCAGCTCATATTCTTTACCCCGAAAGCACCTCCGTTCGACCCGACGAGAAACCAGCCCTTTATTGGCGCGATCTTCAGCAGCAATCTCTTCTGCATGCTGCTCCATCTCCTATTTGTGCATCCAGACGCTGGGGAAGAGACCCGCGGTTATCTCCATGGGGGACTTTTCATCGACTTCATCGGGCAGAAAGCCCCGGTACCGAGGCTGCGCCTCTTAATGTTTGATGTCCTCGTGATGGTTCTGCATCTCATCATGCTAGGTCTCATTGTGGAACGTGTAAAGACGAATTCTGCAAATACGTCTACCCCATCTACGACTACCAGACAGCGTTCCAGACAGGATCTTGACGCGGAGGAGCGGGGTGTGCGAAGAGATGAGCCACGAGTAAGGCCGGGCGACCGTGGACTTGTTAACGACCATACGAGCACAGGTCTAAGCCCTGAGCGGACTGAACTTCTTGCAGAACCGTTGGAAGATGGCTCAGGACACGTGTCGCGAGACAGTCATCCCTTGGACACGTTTGTTTCGGGCGAAGCGGTGCTCATGGACATGAGCATCATCGATACGATCCGTGACCAATGGCGCTATAACCCGGCGACTATTCCCGCGCGGTCTTCCTTTGTGCCCTCCAACGAGACTACGACTTTCCTGCGGGAGAGGTTTGGGATTCAAGTGGGGCCTGACGGACGTGTCGTGCGGGTGGAACGATAGTCCTGCCAGGGTATCGTTATGGATTGTACGAGTGTATATAGTCGCTTCGCCGTTTATGCTAATTGAGGATACAAAAGTAATGACGCTGCTTGGTAGTAACTGTCTCCTACGTAGTTATAATGCTTTTAGTACAGGTTGGCATAAATGTTCTGTGTGAAGCAGGGAGCTTGGAGTAGAACGCCAGTTGACTCCATAGAGAAGGCGGTGACCGAGAGCAACGGCCCCGCAAGCCTTGGCAGAACAGCTCCGGCGGAAGCTCCTCGTCGGCCCTCTCCGTACTGAATCGTATACGTAGCTCTCAATTCGTGCTTCGTCCAGCTCAGAAGATGAACACGGCACGTCCTCTGCAGCTGCTGGGCGCCGCAGTCCGGCGGCGAGCCATCCAATCGCCATTGTCGCGGACTTTCACCAGCTCCAGCTCGACGTCGATACCATCAAACCTAGTTCCTCCGCGCGGTTGGACACCCACGCCCTTCGTGACTGAGACGGTGGTATGTTATGCTCCCCTCTGACAGAAACAAGGATCAGCTTGCTGACTTTTTAGGGAGGTGGCTGGCACACATGTACGTCGATTGGATCCTGAATTCTCGACGCGTTGAAGCTGACTGAAGCAGATGATATTTTCTCCAGATTACTAAAGGTGTGTTTAGCTGGCTGGGCTGGCAGTATCCCTTCATCCTTCGTTCTTTTTTTTCTAATTCTGTCAATGCAGGAACGAATCATCTGTCTCAATGGCGAGGTCGACGAGACGGCGTCCGCTTCGATCGTCGCGCAGCTGTTGTTTCTGGAAGCGGACAATCCGGAGAAACCGATCCATCTGTACATCAACTCCCCTGGCGGGTCTGTGACAGCAGGTGCGATTCCTCTGCATCCTTGTACTTTCTTCTCGCGGAGCAGGTGAATAATCTGTGATGTGTCTAGGGCTCGCGATCTACGACACGATGACTTATATCGCATCCCCCGTCAGCACCATCTGCGTTGGACAGGCAGCCTCGATGGGCTCACTGCTCCTGGCCGGTGGACACCCCGGCAAACGCTACTGTCTACCTCACTCCTCGATCATGGTGCACCAGCCATCCGGAGGGTACTTTGGGCAGGCGACGGATATTGCCATCCACGCGAAAGAGATCCTCCGTGTCCGAAACCAGCTGAACCGGATCTACCAGCGGCATCTGACGAAGAAGATGACACTGGAAGAAATCGAGAAGCTGATGGAGCGCGACTACTTCATGGGCGCCGCCGAGGCGCTGGAGATGGGCATCGTGGACGAGATTCTGGACCGCAGGATCAAGCCTAAGGAGGAAGGAGGGGAAGGAGATGGGCAGCCACCGACGGCATAATTATAAGGGGATTGTATTCTTTTTTTTGTATGTACATTATGATGACCAAACATATGCGTCTATTTATTGATCTCCGCTTTGGTTGAATCACGCCAGAATCAACGTTTCTTTCCGGCTACATGAGTTGTATCTCCCGGATCAAGCCAATTGAAATTCTCAGCACGATGGACTCGCAAACTGCTCCTCATACCCGTGAATAGCAGCAATCTCCTCCGCGCTCGAACTCTTCGGATCAAACCTGAACTTGACCCAGTCCGAAGCCAGCCTCTTGGCGACCTCGATGCCGATGACCTTGTGCCCGAAGCAGAGGACCTGGGCGTCGTTGCTCAGGATGGCGCGTTCAACGCTGTAAGGGTCGTGCGCCGTGACGGCCCTGATCCCGGGGACCTTGTTCGCGGCGATGGCGACACCCATGCCCGTGTCGCAGACGAGCAGGGCGCGATCCACCGTGCCGGTCTTGACCAGCATCGCGGCCTTGACGGCCGGATGGGCGTATGCCGTCTCTCCTCTTTCTCCTTCGCCTTCGCCTTCGCCTTCGCCTTCTCTTTCTGTTTCTCCGTCTGCTTCAGCGGTTGTTGCTTCTGCTCCGTGGACCCCGACGTCAGTGACGACGGCCACGTGGGGGTTCTGCTCCAGATGGGCCTTCAGGGCTTCTTTGTACTCGTATCCTGTCTCGTCGCTGGCTATGGAGATTTTGAGTGGGGGGAGCTTTGTCGCGGGGGTTGTCGTCGTGGTAGTAGGAGTAGGACACGCAGTAGAAGTAGTCATAATGGGTCTTTTCGGGCGGACATCATTCCGTTAGATAGCGTATGTATAGTACAGTACTGGTAAGGAGGGATTATGTACAGCACGGTGTGTATGTGTATGGTATCATCTATTCAAATCCAAGATTGTGGGAAGAAAGTTGGTCGAGTCGCGTAAGTAAGCTAAGCCCTCGAAGAAGTCTGCCACGCCTAGCGATGAGTGATCAGCCCAAACTACAGAATGCTGTCATAGTGGACATGGATGGAGTGGCTCTAACTTCGGTCAAAGGTTGCGGTGCGATTAACCGCTTTTGTTTCCATGGTTGTCTGCTGTCTGTTATCCAGTCATCGAAGTGGTGGCAACGAGGCGGGATAAAATTCCTGGGAAACCGCGCCGTATGCCATGTGGTTTTGCAGCTGGCGATATAGGTAGTTACAGATGTAAAGGCAGTAGTTGGGTAGTTCATGAGATGGACCATATATCCTAGCTGGCAGTGATCAAAACTATCCACCTAAGAGAAATACGCATCTGAAAGAACCATGAATTATGAAATTATTAAAGAAATCGTCAGTAATAGTAAGGACAGGATATCAAGCAAAGCAGAGTACAGTAGCAGAGTACGGACAGGGCCCTCCCTAAGACATAACTGCATTGTGCGATAGTTGCAGACAGTCATGGTTTACTTAGCATATCTATAATCCAAGTTACATATAAGCTTAAACGAGGTACTACTAACAATTGTCTACTTTTTTTCCAGACTCTAGGTACATGTATAGGGAGATACTTGGTCAACTCCAGAAATCATTAAGAAGAGTGACTTACATATGTAGTATATCTTAGGTCTAAAGTGTGACTCAGTATTATTTTTAATTAATATGATTGCGATATATTATCATGCAGGAATCTTTAACTCTCCATATTGAACTTCATTCAGCTCTGTCGGAATTGTAGGTCAGGTGCTTGACATTACTTGGTAAATATAGTATGCACCGTACCTCGCCAATTGGATCGCGATCTCAAGATCGATTTCCCTATGTACTGTACCTAGATCTTGAAAGATCTCTGTCATGTGATCTATATAGTTAGCAGCAGGGACTATTTGTGCTGAATTGACGAAGTGTTATTATTATTTATGCAGGGAACATTCTTCGGGCTTTGCATCCTGTCTTCGTGATTCCTTGATCATCGGAGTTCAACTAAGTGCCGACTCTCTTCAATTCCCATGACAAGTCTTCCTAGTCATCCTTGGCATCTTTCGCCAAGTGCGCACCGGTCTTTCGTCAAGAGTGCCTAGACCGTCTGCTGGAATATCCGAATAATTCGGCTGGTCTTGGCTGTTTCTTTTTTAACTCTTTCGGCTCTTGTTTTGCCGCATGATCCGAAAGCGTGGCTGTGAAAAACGAACTAGCATGTGTACAATGTACTGTACATACGTGCTCCTTGGCAGTAGTTATGGGCTTCATGTGGTAATAATAATACTTACTGGCTGTGGAGAGTCCTGGACTGGAGTTTACAATCGAATAACATTACAACGGGCAAGCCATAGTTGACAAAATATAAATAATTATACTTGGAAAGACTGATTGTGCAGTACATTTACATAACCATATTCATCGTACACCTTGGATGCTGTTAAAAGTCAGATATATATATTATCTTGTATATACATCATTCCTCTACTAGTACACCTTTTCCAATTCCCACTCTAACTCCAGTAACCAGCTCACATCCATATATACAACAAGACTCCCTTCATGTTTTCTCTCAAATCCTGCAATTTCCCCTCGTACTGAACTCCTTGAAATCCGTGACGATGTTGCTGTAGTTGCCTTTCAGGGAAGTATCCGGCCTGTTGACAGCGTTAAACGCAAGAGCCGAATTGCCCGTCGGAACAGTCTCCGAATTCTGCAGATGGCGGTCACACGTTCCGCCAGGAATGATCTGGTCGCCGGCACCCCATTGGAGAGTGGCGTACTGGTGGAAGATGTTGTGCCAGTTGGGTTGGACGGAACCGAAGCCGCCAGGGACGACCTTGTCGTAGACACCCACGACGGTGTTTTGCGCGACGTTCTACCAAAGTCAGTCTGGTTTGCTGAAGAAATGTGCAATCCGGTGTGAACTTACTTCGACCTGATTCGTTTGAGCATATTCATCAGGTACGTTCGGATCCTGGTTGTAGTTGTCTAGCCAAGTGCTGCTGTCTATTGCCAAGTGAGTAAGCTGTTTATCTCCGCGACTATTCTTTGGGATGAGTCTCTACCAGAGAATGTCTTGCCCCAGTAAGCTCCGAGCAAGTCAAGACTGTGGCCCGTCTCATGGATTGCCACGTCCATGCTGCTGCTGGTCGTGCCAAAGAATGCAATGTTGCCGTTGGAGTTGTATGCCCAGCTGTCACCGGGGATGGTGATGACATGGCGGACCTGTTGCTATCAGTAAATCTTCTTTCTTACAACCAATTCTCTCCTGTCTTCCTCACCCAGCTACGCATCTTCACAGGAAGTCGGCCAAAGATGTCAATTGTTGTCACAAGATCGACGTTGCTGTCCTTGTGGCGGCAGAACACCCAAGCATCACTACACTACACGGTGTTAGATCTAAATCTAGCTGCTGGTGGTCGTCAAATCTAATACATACGTCGTCATAGTGGACGTTGTAAATCTCGAAATCATCCGGATTCTTGCCTTCGTTCTGCGCGATGCTCTTGCAATCGGCGGGGATCCAACCAGGCCCCCACTTGTCCCAGGTGCTGTGAGTCGGATGAAGATTGTCAATGTTCCCCTGTTCAAGATAGTCCAGGTTCGGCGTCAGGGCAGGTTTGTTCAGCCTCTGGGCCGTGGCAAGAAGGGGGAGTGCCGTCGCGAGGACGGTGCCAAAAGCAAGAGGAGACCTCATGTTGTCAAATCAATGAATTCAATAATAACACGAGAAAGAAAGAACTATAGAATGAGCAAAAAGTTGCAACTGCTCTGGCGAAATTCTGGACTCCATGGGACATATGTATCCATGGCAATTATATACCCAGAAAAAAAAATCGAGAACATGTCTAGAAAGCCTCATGTTTTCCCTAACCGATGCCATCGTTGAACCAAAAAAGGTTACAGTGTGATGTCGTATAGAGCGATGTTCCGTACTAATTTGATGTCTTTGACCTCGTGGTAGCAATGTGGCTGGTTTAGGGCAACTATAGTCAAGTCAGATCAGGGTCTGCGAATCCTATCTGGAAGAACTAACTAGTCCCTGAAGCTAATTTCGAGACTTTTCATTGGAAAGTCTCCAATTTGGTTCCTGCATTGCGGATGTAGGGCATCATGCCGCGGTGCCGACTTTATCAAAGCAGTCCGTAGGGACTGTTGGCGAGCTTGGCACGGGAAAATATCACATTATTCGAATCAAAAACGCCTCAAAGACCTCAAAAATAGAAAGGCTATTATGGAGTACAAGTAATTGCCTAAGGAATCAGCAGAGACGTCTGTACTTCTGAGGTTTTCCCGAAGCAAGCGGGTCCCAAAGGCACGTGGACTTTAATTTGGGTAGGACTTAAAAATAGTCCAGCACTGCTGAAATAGCAATATACTGGCCTATTTTGTAATTCTAGAATGATCCTACCAAAATATCAGCTACCCTAATTGAAACTACAAAATTTGGGTTCGATCGGATGAGGCTGAGCGTATGTACTCCATAGTTTGGTATCAAATCTTGGATCATCGCCGATGTTACCTTATCTCGATTAAGAGAGCCAGATCTTAACGAGCCCCAACTTTAATTCCTCTGCCAAGACGTGATTAGTTCCAGTTTAAGGTACCGTTCTCGAAATACTATAGGTGGGTTCGGAATGATCCATGTCTAGCAAGATGTAGCTACGGAGTAGTCGGAACTTAGCCCCCACGTGGAAGGGAGGCTATCCAGTTATCTGCAGAGTTCCTGCAGCGGTGCGAGGGACGAATTTGGGGGAGGAATTAGAGTTATATCGTCCTGGATGAGGGGTGAGAAACTTGTTCGAATTAGTGCTTTCGCTTCGATCAGTAAGGTAAATCGGTTGTAGGATCCTGCCACTTTTGTAAAACATGGCAGAACTGGGAAATACATGTATCCAATTTCGACTGATCAAAGAGTCAGTAGTAGGCTTCTCAATCAACAATGACGGATATAGAAAACACGGTATTTTGGACACGTTTCCCCCAAGGGAGACAAAGTAAAACCCCTATGGGATAATGGCACGGATTGCGCCCTTAAGACATGGGTTTGCATGCATCCTCTTCATAGTGTTCTGCAAAGCAATCGGACTCCGGAGTATCTCCGTATATTACCTTAGGAGGCTAGGACTATCGCTTAACTGCAACTTAACGTAGGTTAAAGAAGTTGCTCAATAAGAGCCTTGGCATAATATCATAATTCAATTGGTCATAACGTCACAATGCCAAGGACAAGTATATTTGGCCGTATTGCCATATTTCTACTAGGCAAAGTTTCTTATCTACTTACTGAAGGATAGAATGGCGGAATGGTTTCCGCTGCGAGGGGGACAAAAGACCCGGTGAAGTATTCAGAGACCACGAGAAGCTGATGAGAGAATATTCATAAATTGCGAGAAACATCTGCCTTCGTCTGCGCGGCTCTTGGCAGCTCATAGACAGGATCCATAGACGCTGAGACTGGTAGGTCAACGGTATTATTAATAATTATACGAGCACCTTTAAAAACAAAGAGAAGGTTTTGGATACTAGCTTAGTTTCTATTCAATATAACATAGCAGATATGTAGGTAGAACCTGGTCTGAATCGAGTCTAGCACCAAGTAAGTAGATAGAGAAGAAGAGGCCATTTTCTTAGTTACTACGCTGAATTTTATGTCAATGGAAAACAATTGCTTTTTTTTTTAAAAAAAATTTTATTCTACTATCCCTAAACACACATCCTATCATATTCTATCATATATTTTGTAGGAACAATGAAGAGGATACAGGTTTAATAGCCGAAATATCGAGGTGTATGCCAGTGAGACTAGTTACGTTTGACTCAGTACCTAGGGAGCTAATACCGTGAAGTTTTCTTTCTTCCTTGCCAGATAAGGAGAATTATTGCCCCATCTTTGCAATTAATAATGGGTCCTATCTGTCTTGTTTCTTCTCATCTCTTATTCCCTTATGGCCAAGTTACCGCCAGCATTACTCATTGTATTTGCAACATATTGTTGGCCAAATAAATAAATAAAAGAGAGATTGTCTTAACAAAAGCAAACAGACTGTCAAGCCTAACCCGTATATGCATACACGTCAGGAACAATATCGTCGTAAGATGTCTTCTCGCCTTCGTAGAGATTCATTTTCATCTCATCTGTCCTGCAGACGCAACAACAGCCTGTGTTCAATCCCGCTGGGTTCTACCCAAAAAAAAAAAGAAAAGAATCCCAATTTAACCTAACAAAGATCTGTCGGGGTGCTCCGGGTAGAGGGCACCCCGTATCAGAAGTTTTTTTTTTGTCTTTATTCCTTTTTTGACCATTATCTTCCGGTGACCTGATGTTGTTGATGTTTCCTATTTGGGAAGTTATATCAAAAATTAGATCCGGGAATGTGCCAATGCTAATCAATATTCTCATCATTTCATTTGCATCTCTGCTGCAGAGACCTTTTCTTACGGTCAGTGCAGCTGATAGGAACATTGTGATTCGCGGTAGGATGGCGTTGACCTTGGGTAATTTCACAGGCAGATAAATGAATTCCATTCTGAATTGTAACGGTCCAACAATGTAGAGAAATTTCAAGGGAAAAAAATATGTGTTTCTTTCCTATTGAGTTCCTACGTACAGTACATATAATAAGTGCGTGACGGGGAAGAAATTGCTGCCGGGCGGACAACTCTGGCTTTTTCAGAGCTCGCCCCTGACATCAAGGCCAGCGACCACCGAGGCTCGATAATACGGACAACTCGGTTCTTCAGCAGAATCACTTTTCTGTTTGATCGCACCTACCTATTTCTTGTCCTCTACTTTGTTAACGCTTGTCCGGCGCATGGCTTTGAGTTTTTCTCGTAGTACCCTCTCACGCAATTCAGTGGCAGATAGTCGATTAATCGGATTCGGCCGCGGCTGCGGGGCCTGTAACCGGTAGTTTAATTAGTCGGCCTGAGCATTATGAGCGAAATATTAGTAGTCAGGGCTGAAAAGGGAAGGAAAGGAAGAATGATAGCGCAATACGCGCTGTTATCATCTACCTACCTGACTGTCTTCCGCTCTGTCATCTGAGCTTTGACGTGGCGGCGACCGCATCGCGGTATCCTCTGGCTCAGCCGTCCTTTGCCGTTTTTCATCCGGTGACACGGACGACGTGTTGCGCCGTCTTCGGCCAATAGGCGCGTATCTTTCAATGGACCGACGCCGCTTCTTCTCCCTCCTATGGCTAGGACTACGCGAGCGATCTCGTCTCGAACTGAGACTTCGGGTACGCGTGCGACCCCGGTCGCTTGGACTGTAGCTTCGGCGTCTTCGGTCTCTGCTGGGACTGCGACTTAGGCTGCGACTCAATCGGCGGTCATCTCGGTAGGTTCGGCCTTTGCCAACATCAGCGCGTGACTCTCTCTTATCCACTCTTGAATCATTAGATAACGATCGTCTCCCCCTGGCTCCGCCTCTCGGCCCTCGAGAGCTCAAGCGGGAACGAGAACGGGAGCGTGATACTGATCTGGATCTAGATCTGGGGGGAGAATAATCTCTTCTCCATCGCCGGGACCTGCGCACGGGAGACCGTGATGGGCTGCGAGAAGACGCGGACGAGTATCTCCGTCGGTATCTTCTGGGAGTAGGTGAGCGAGACGAATAACTACGGGTACGAGATCTAGCTCGGTCATCACCGTAATCCGGACTGCGACTCCTGTCCCTCCTGCGCGCCCTCCTATCAGGAGACGGGGATCTGCTATAAGACCGCGGACGCCTCCTCTCCTTTGATCTTCTATCCGAATAGTAAGACCGACGGGGTGGCGATCGAGAGTAGGACGGGGTACGAGAAATAGAGCGAGAAATTGACCTGGATGAGCGCCGACTTCGTTCCCAACGAGAACCCCGTGGCACATAAGAATCTGCCAATCGCCGTGAACGGTATCGATCGGGACTTCGCCGTCGTGGAGGTGGTGAGCGGGAGTCTCTCCTGTCATAGTCTCGCCTGTCATAGTCTCGACCTCGACCCCCGCCGCTCCAATTTCTGCTCCGTTCGGCTCTTTCTCTCTGTCTGATAGCTTCGAGTTCTCGCTCACGTGCCCGTTCTTCTTCCCTTCGTCGACGCGCTTCTTCGGCGGCTCTTTCTGCTTCCAACTAGACAGAGTGAGTAACGGATCGTCTGGTCATGACAGTTGATTCCTTACCTTCTCTTGCCTCAATTCCATCTTCTTCGCTTCTAAAAGTTCCTTAGGAACGCCCTGGGGATTTGCTTGAGCACTGAGGCAAAGATTCCACAACTCTTGACAGAACTTGGGCGTGTCTTTGTCGAGAAACCCGGTTAGCTGAATTTGGAGAGATTTGATGTCGGGCTAGGAGCCGTAGTTGTCAGCAATCATATCTGGCGGATGTCCAAAGAAAGCGCTCCAGGTCGACGTACAAAACGAGACCCTTCGAGAAGATTGAAACAGAGCTCAATGACAACGTCATCCTCGTTTCCCAGTAATTCTGACAGTCTCCCTGCTATCCATCTGCGATAGATCTTGGCGTCAGTGTCCTTCAATGCGATTAGCAGAGCACCTGTTAGAAGAGCTTACTTTTTCATGACCTCAATGTTGACCTTGGTCATGTCCACCTTCTGGTTGAATTCAGGTGGAAACTTGGTCTGCTTGAGCAGTTTGGCATCGACGCTCGTCGCCATGGTGGCTAGGAGCTGAATCACAACTATTCTGTGCTAGAATGACAGAAGTGAAATGGAAGACAGACGCGACAGAGAGCAAATGCGAGCAGCTTCGCCACGCAACTAAGGTTGGAGGTCCGGCCGTTCGGTTCGAGTTGCCTGGTTTGATGACTAAGCAAGCGAAACATGGTCGTGATCATCGTCCCCTTTTCTACCTTCTGCAGGTCTCTTTGTTCTTTATTCTTCTTGCATTAATTAAGTTAATTGCACATCAGATATCGTAAACATAGTTCTCCTAAATAATCCTTATGTCATTAGTAATGATTGCCATTTCAGGAGCATGCGGCCGCCATTTTATATTGACTACAAGGTCACTATCAGAGAAGTAAATCATCAGAAAATCATTGCACTCTACAGGGGCGTTGTCCATTACACAATGTGTAATCGTCAACACTTATAAGTTCTACCCTGAGGTGATCTCACCCGTGAAATGGAAATATATCTGAGACAAAGGAGGGAGACAGAAGCTGATCGATCAATGAGTCTTTGGCCTTAAAATCGGCCTCTACTCCGTAAGTCATTGGATACGTATTTTAGTATGCCAGCTAGGCTGACAGTGTGAAGGTTACTAAATGGCACATTGCCAAGTAATATCCTTTTCGAGCCTTGAAGAAGATCCGTAAACAGCTATATCGTGTCTTGCATAAACAACCACAAGGCAAAAATACCAAAAAAAAAAAAGAAGAAGCAAAAGTAATATCTGGCTTCTCTCAACTAACTCAATTCTCTCAACACGCGATTCACATCATCTCGAGCACGACGTAAACCTTCATCAACCATGGGATCGGAGCCAGGGCCCGTCATATGCTTCACTTTGACTCCGTAATGGAGCTCAACTAGCTCCTTGGCTCGTTCGAGCTCCGCATTGCCTGAATCCTGCACACCTGCTGCTGCCCCTTCCGTCCCTGGTTTCAACGCTTTGTTGACGTTGACGAGAGTCAAGGCTTCTGCATGTCCCTGTGCAAAGAGATTCTGGTCAGTTTCAAGGGTTGAGGCACATTCAAGATCCAATCGCCATCACAATGATGTACTGGTATCCAAATTCCCAAATAAAAAACGATCAGGTCAACCATCTTGACGTACACATGCCCGTAAGGAGGTCAAATCAGAAAGGATCTCCGCGACCTGCATCGTGTCACGAAGATAAGTTGCGGACAGAGAAATACCGGCGACTACACTCCAAAAAAAAGTCTGGAAGCTTCAAGTAAGCAGAAGATCTACTAGGCATTACAGGTCACGGCTTACACACCTGTTGCTGAAAACCTCAAGTCTTTGAGAAGGTAGTGGGACTTGAAATTGTACTCGCGAAATCACAGGAGACTGGAACAGAGGGTAATTTCAACTGCAACACGCCACAATTATCCGTAACGGTCATAAACTAGTTAAATGGTGTCGTCTCCCTTTGTAATTTAGATGAATGTTGTGACATAACATTATGGTCACGTATGGAGTACTGTCGGAGCTCCGGTGGAGTTAGTGTCTTGGCGGTGAAGCTTATTTTAATCTAACTGGCCCCCTTGTATCAGAAGGGTTTATCAGATGTCCCCTTTATAAAGGATATTATTACTAGATACGGAGTACAATGATCCGATTATCTAACTGGCATGCCATCTGTCTTCGCATCCCTTCGAATCACAAAACGTTAATTGGCCCAATAGATCAGTGCATTTATGCAGCAGAGGCAGGTTAAAAAGTGATGACGATGACAATGCCATACTTTGACTCAACTGATACCAATGTATCGCAGCTTTCAAGCTGAAAATCGCGATTGCTGGACCGAAGCTCTGCCATGCGTTCTGTGAGCAGAAATCAACCCAGACACTGATCTTGTCTGCTAAATCGCTAGCTTCCATTTGAGACATGACTCCCGTGTCTCCATCTGCAAAATTCTGGCTATTACTCCCTGCATAGTCAGGGTAAAAGCTTGTGTCTGCTTGGCGGCAAAGGTATTCGAAGAGTGGGGGACTGTCATAGACAGTCGTGTAGAGCGTCAGAGTGGTAGCCCAATAGAACAGCATTAGACGAGCGCTTTGTAGGGCGTCAAATGCGGTTCCCAGAGATTGAGGATTTTTGCTTGGGTAACGGTGTGTTCTGACCGGTGGTTGACCCGTCTCTGAGACCATTGACGATGCACCCCAATGCGGAGCCAGATATTCCGGACCCAATGGAAGATGGATGCCAGAGCGATTCTCCCAGTCTTTAAGTCGACGTATCAAGTTGGCAAACTGAAGCAAGAGACGTCGACTTTCTTCAAGCGATGTAGATCTATCGTCGGCACCTGTCCAAGGCAGGGCATCAGCTTGCTCGAGAAGACTCGGTACCTCAGAAGCGAGGTCGAGGAATTGATGAAACGAATTCTTTGGCTGCATGGACCAGGGAACTTTGATCCATTCAGCCTCAGACAGGAATGTCGACTTTCGACTTATAATTCCTTTGAGTATCTGGTGATACATAGGCTTAGTGAGGCTTCTAATATATTTTCCTGCGTTGGACAAGGCCCATACTCCAATAGTTCGATAGAATTGAAACATCTGAAGGTCCAAGCCTTCGACGTGCATTTTTGGACCTCTGAGTCGAAGAGCAGTCTCTATCCCTGAGGAATGAGCTAGCCAGCCAGCACCAGATTCGGTTCCGAATTCAAAGAGCTGGGTGTGTCCAGATCAGTCCCATTCTGAGCAATTAATTCAAAAAAAGGGGGATGTGGGAGAAGGAAGGAAAAGAAGAAAATAACTGTCCTCGTACCTCATATAATACCAGTAGTTGCATAGTTGGGAGAATTTCTGGCTCCAAAGTCGGGTCATTTTCTCGAAGAATTTCCTGCAAATCTTCCAGAGTTCTATTATAAAGTCTGAGACTATCATCAACGACATCTGGTCGATTCTCAACGTGACCAACCCAACCGTAGCTAAGCGTCGAAGCAGCCAGCAGCAGTGCATTGGTCTTCTTGGGCATCATTGCTAAGGAGGACAACCAGGATAGAGGAACCTCTTCTGAAGCCCTGGCTGGAAGGCAACAAGTGACAAAAGAAGCCAGTGCTTGATCATGCTGAGCCGCTTCGACAAGGCCAGCAAGGATTTGTAAGTTTGGGGTTCCTAGAATTAGTTCATTGTTGTTGGGCATAACACAGTCATACGAAAAGCCGACCGATCTGTCAGCCCCCCAAGAAGATCCATCGAGCTGATAACTATCATTTCCAGTATTCACCTGCTGTACAGAGTTTTGTTGTATTTCAGGTGGGCGCTGGAAATGCCTCGGGAAGTGATTGAGAAAGACGGTTGGCTTATCGTAACCCTCGCATACCCGAGAGCCCCTAGCGCACCGGTTGCAAGTCGGTCTGCCTAGATCGCACTATATAGCACGACGCGTTACGCATCGCCATATCAGTATAAAATAAATAGCGTCAGGGAATATATAGGGAGGTCATAAGACTGACTCTTATCTTCCTCTTGCGACAAGTATGGCATCCTTTCGATTTCCCCGCAATGCCGACCATACCTCTGTGCGGTGCATTGTCAGGAAGCTAGGACCTGCTACGTTCCTGACCCCAAAGCAATAGGCTCTCCTTCGAGAGAATGCTCGGCTCTGAAAGAGCGTATCAAGCACGAGACGATGTCAATTTGATGCCGGAGATAAAATTCCAAGGCTAAGGTAACTCCGATGTCATTCCCCACAGGCTAAACTACTTTTGGAAAGATCTTGCGAACGGGGTCCATAGCAGTCTATCTTGTATACCATCGCGATAGAATGAAGTCGATTTGAGATGAATCCAAAATA